TCACGCAAATAATAATTTATTTTCGATGTAGATATTTTGTAAAAATACTTTAGAGGAAAAAACTTTCCGAATGTTATAATAATTTCCACATTTGACATTATTATATAATTCACAGTATTGCACACTGATTACAATATTTATTAATCGTTTCTATTGAGCTGTCTTCAGACAGTGACCCATACCGTGTATAATATATAAAAACATTCTAACGTAAAAAATCGAATAAGATTATACCTACGGTACTTCATCATACGGAATTGAATGTACATACAGCTGTAAAAGGTACAATTACAAACAGGTATAGGCTCTATAGTCTATACTATAGGTTTATTATTATGTCTACTTTACTATATAAACAGGTACGCTTATGTATTATAGACATTATAGTAAACGCATATAAGTATTTATAATTTCATGATCTATACAATTATATAGGTATACGTACCTATAGACGCATATTGCCAACGTTCGAGTGAAGTGACAAAATTAGTTGTTTGATTATAATATATTATAGTTATTTATAAATTATATGAATATAATATATATGCAATTTTACAGTCCAAGTGTACGTACATAATATTATGAGACTCGTCCTCGTCATTTATAGTAATATAATATATGCCTACTATAAGTCTTGCACTCACCCACCCGAGGACACATTTATAACGCATCTACATAATACGTTTTATACACATATTAATGTATGTTATAGTAATATATTGTATAATACTTCCACGGCTGACTTCGAAATGTCAACGTACAGTCCAGATCAAATAGAATAAAAGCATACAAGGACGTCTGATAGATTTTTGTGTTTTTGAAATAGTTGCGGCACCTATGCCATTGTCATTAAAATATTTTTAATAGCATAAAAATACGCATTATTGTGCTTATTTATACGATAGACTAAGGATGTTGTGTAAAAAACGTGTATCGGACTAGGTTGACTAGGTTGAATTATACAGAATTTCGTTTCTTTAAATCATTTTTTTTTTTATACATACATTAAAGAGTGAGTAATCACAAATAATTACTAACGTTTATTCGATTTGTACATCAATATAAATATACACCAAAAGATAAAGGAATGAGGAAAAAATGAATTAACTATCATATAGGTGTTTGTGAGGATATATAGGAGTACCGCAGAGTACTAGCTATTATTGTACACTCCCAAACCAAATACGTATCAAATGGTGATCACTAGAGGTCGGAATAATATTCTCTTAAAATAGCCAAAATAAGATGCTAATATTCCTCTAAAAAATTGATAATATTCTTTAAAAGTTAAATATGCAAAAAATATGCTTTTACAGTAATATATTCTCCTAAATTTAAAATAAGCTTTTATATTAAAAAAAAATACAATCAAATTGATACAATAAAAAGGTCATTAACTATGATAAAATTCTATATGTTTACTGAAATATTTTTTTTATTTATTTAAATAAATAATTATAGGTAGGTTACCTTATAATTTAGTTTTAAAAATGTTAACTCAACATTTTATTAACTTATTCTATATTGTTATTCCATTTATAGTTATCTCAATAATAACGGATTAAAAACTTATTTATTATTATTAATGAGTTTCGTGGTTTCGTCCCTACAACACAAATTATCCAAATTCTATAAAATTAATCGATTTATTCTCTAATATTATTTTTTTATACAAAATATTATCTTATCTAAAAATATTCTCAAATGTGCAAAAAAAAAAAATTGTTGACATTGAATTATATGATTCATAATTTTTAAAGATTTCAAATCGAAATTAGACTGTATAGACTCAAAAAAAAATATGTAAATGAATATTATTCCGATCTCTACTAATCATGATGAACTATTTTATTATATTGAAAACATAAAAGAAATTAATTATTAGAATATATTTCATTAATTTTTTTTCTAAAATGATCGAACTTAAGCGTTACAGAATCAGCTCGAAATTGTACGTGCAGGTAAAATAATAATAATTTATTTTTATATAAAATTGAAATTAAACGATGCTACTTGTCATTTTCAAACATAGATGGATTACTATCTTTGTACTTTTTAAAAACCTCAAAATTTCAGTGGAATAGTTTACTTTTATAAATGTAGTAGGGTACACAAGCCCGGATCAGGGATCAATGCTTTAATTATAAACTCTACAAATAAAAAAAAAAACTGTTGTTCTTATCCCTATTTAAACATTAAACAATATTGATTGCATTGAAAAATACACAAAGACACGAAATTATGTATTAATTAACTGTTATAATTGTTCCTGTTAAATATTTTCAATAAATTTAAAAAAAAAATTCTATCACTTTTGAAAGTTTATAATATAATGTATAAGCAAAATATCTATGATTTCTGGGGCTTTGAATCCAAATCAATACACGGATTTTGGGTTTTGAGTGCTAAATTTATTTGGGTGTTTAAACGTAGGAATAAAAAAATTAAATAAACGTTTGGGTATTAATAACCGTTATTATTTAGGTTAACATTGGTTAATACAAATATTTAGTAATTTATAAAAATTTTTTTACAAGAAATTGAATTTCACAACTGTTAAATCCTTTGCATTTACCCTCAAAAATTAATTTAAAAAGAAATTTTTTATTTATTAAAATACAAGTTATCCCTAACAATAATGCTGAACAATTTTTTTGAACAAAATCAGTTTTTTAATTTCAAATAATTAATATTTATTAAGAAATTACAAGAATTAAGCAACCAAAAATGATATAAATAATAATAATAATAATAATAAAAAGAGAATACTACTCTGCTGTATATTAGGTTTAGATATCGAATATGTCTCTATTATGGGTGTGTTAAATTTAAATTTAATAATATATCATATTGTATACAAAAAACAATTCTGAGTAGAAACTATATAGTTAGTCTATATCGCACTATAGTGTAATATTTCATGATATGTTTTTAATAGGGCATTACATTTATTTACTTTAAGTACCTATATTACAGTAAGTTAAGATCATTTTTTTTTCGAAAATATTGAATTTATTATATTATTAGTATTTAATTTATTTTAATAATATACATAAATATATATTATTATCATATTTTACCAACTTATATAACTCAAAGGCACATAGTACAAATATGAAATGTTTTGTACACAAATTTATAAAAATTTATCATATCACATGTGAACATTTCAAGTTTTTATGAGTTTTTATTTACGGGATAACCATAAAACAAAATCAATTTTGTCGAAAACTGAATTTGCGTAAAAACACCGGGTTTTCCTTAATTTGTTGATTATTTTGAATAATAATACTGATAATTTTTACTTCTCTAGGTCCAATTCACTTGTCAAAACTATCCTTAAAGTTTAAAATCAAACTATTTCAACTATTTGTATACAGATATAAAAAATATAAAATAAAAGTTTAAGTGCGTATCATTGTAAAATCAATACATTCATCGCTCCGCCCAAAATCTAATATAAGTCATGTACCAATATTTCAAAAAATATAAATAATATTAATTTTAAAAATATTCTAAATATGTTTCATTAAAAATAAAAATTATTTATTCGTATATAAAAGATATGTTTCTTATTTTTTTTAGGAAATTAAAAATATCTGATTTAATTAAGTAAAATGTAGACATAAAATATTAAATTGTTCAATTGAATACAATATCGTTATACCAGTTTTTGTTTATTTTTGAACGATGATTAATATTTCCTATTTATTCAATACCATTCTTGCCTTGTTCATTCCAGCTTCTTGACATATTTTTGTAAGTAATTTCCAAATACTATGATGTTTATTGCCAACGAGATGGGGAAATCTATTGTTTCAGTCTTTATAATCATCGTTAGTTCTGTTTTGGATCTGTTGTTAAATTTGTGTTCCATATTTCTGATACAAACAATAGTGGCGTTTTTCTTAAAACTAAATTGTTTGTCTTTTTAACTTTCTCAAATATGCCACCAACATAATTTTTTATCAAAATACTGTAGCAGGAGGTCTATTGCTCTAGTGAAAAGAATTTGTTTTAAATATCCCATCCTTGCGCTAACTTTACTTAAGATAAAAGCCAATTCACTCATTATTACACGATATAAATTGGAGTTTCCATCCTCTTTATATCTTTTATATAAGCCCAAGTTTTGATTTTTCAATAAGTATTCTAAGATAAATAATAAAAGCACCCTCAAATTAAAATGTGTTCACCAAAAACTGTTTTAGTAGCTTTGTGAACTGCGATTTCAAAGTCAACATTGAAGTAAAATGAGTTTGGATATAGTTCACGGTAGTTACACTTATTCAAAATAATGTTTAAAATGTTCATAAGTATTTATATTATAATACAATACATTTGTTTATAATGTGCTTGAGGGTTTTTAGACGATGATGAAATTGATTAGTGTTTGAATTAAATCGGTGTGGGAATCTAGAGTTTAAGATATTATATGATTCTGGATAATGTGTTAAAAATATATTGTACAAGTACTTAAAGAGAACCTTAAACGTGTACAATTTTATCATAGTAAAAAAACTACATTATGCACGTGGTTTTCACTTCTCATTAAGTATTTAGACCACTATTAAAATATAAATTACATTGATACTAGAATGGGTAGCGTGTAATTATTGATATTTTTTACATATCTCATAAAATTAGCAAAAATTAGATGCCAATTATGACTAAAAATCAATAATGTTGAATATAGTATTATCTTTAGACATTAAAAATACGTTATTGCACAATATGTTTCAACCATATATCGTTTTGAGACGGTTATATATGCATATTGCATAGGTATACATCATATACGAGATAAATATTATAAATCATCCTACGAATATATTTTTTCTATTGAAATAATGTCATTTACCGTCCGTCCGAGACTCGGTTTGTCGTTTGTTTTTAAAAATATGCAATTTCAACGCCGAGGTGATCTTCTTTATTCGCAACTATGCGTTCCCTACAAAAAAAATCACAGTACGCGCGTATAAATATGGCTGGAGTCTTATAGACCTAACACAACACAATCAGCACAGCATTCGATCGCTCAAAACGGTTTGCAGTACTCAACGATTCAAAAACAAAAATTATCACAACATTCAAACATCAATATGTCCGGAAAACTCATCGTAAGTATAAAATAAAAATACGAATTTTAAATTTTAAGTATCCAACATTTTGTTTTTGCGAAATATACGTTTCTGAAGTTCAAATTATGGAGTATACCTAATAATAAATATATATTTGGTATAGTTTTGAATTATGTGGAGTTGTTAAGTTAGGAATAGAGGACTTAATTTATGAGCATATAATTTATAATATTACGTTATAAATTTTATGCAACGTGTATGTTCGGGTTACCATTTTGTAGACTTAAATCTAATACCTTCTATTCCTATATCCTACATAACTATGTAGATAATATGAAAATTAATGATTAAGTTTATATTATATATACAATATACACACAGCAATACATTTATAAACGTATTACTTATTAGTTATTACATAGATTTGATAGATATAATAAGCTTTGTGTTTTGTTCTCTCTTTAGATCTTTTTCTTGGTAGCTGTCGCTCTGGCTTGCATTGGTTCCGCCACCGCCCAATATGTCGTCTACCCTACAGCTCCGGTTGTATCTTCCTATTACAACCCTTACGGATACACCTACCCCTTGACTTACAACTACAGGTTCGGTGCTTACCCATATCTCTTGCGCCGTTGATTACATTGCTATGTATCTCTATTTTCCAATTGGTAAGTATATTTAATCGAAAATAACTATAATTTAAAACTATACATCGAGTATCCATTAAACTGTTTAAGCTAGTTACAACTTACAAGTAATGATTTTGGTAATATCTTAATAGACATACTATATTAAGTTATTACTTCTTTACTTTAAAATTCGTTCACATTATATTAACTATTGCAATTACAGTTTATTCCTACCTATAATGTTAAAGCTTAAAAGTAACTAAATTAATTTTTTTTATACATTAGGAGTAAATAACGCATTATATTAATTGTATATTACTTTAGAATTTAAAATGGCAATTGTCATACGCATTTAATCATTTTTTTTCTTGGTTTTCGTAGTCCATGTGTAATGGTACATTTTATAAAGTTGTTTATTATTCTAAATTATAATATTAAAAAACAAATTATTACAATAGGACTAGTTTTAATTTTATATAAAAATTAAAATATATGCGTACCTAATATAAATTTACTATAAATACGGTTTCTGTTTGCAGAATACGTCTTGAAGAAGAATACAGTCTTCACGCCAAACGATGCATAAACTGTTTTAATAATTCGGTTAAAAAAAAAAATGTAATATATTTTTAAATATTTAATCATTATATATTTATTATAATCATACACGCTATGATAAAATAAAAAAAAAATTACACATACTCTTGCTGTTTTTATTAATTCTCTATTTTTGTGTTTCATTACACAAAATACTCTTGACAAATTTTGTTTTTAAGAATATTATAGCATAAATACATAATATACTAAAGGGTATTGTATCATGTGCTACAACTTAAAAAAGAGCAATAAAGCTAAGAATAAAAAAAAGTATTTGAAATGAGATGTGATGTATTGTTGACCATATTATTATATTTATTAATTACTTAACCTATTATGTTAATTTAATAAGTTCTAAGTATCTTTTATTTGCCTGAATTTAAAAACATAATTTTAATGTGATTTATTTTATTTGAGTAAAAAGGTTGTTCTCGGTACGGCCATTGCGGTACAATATATTACGAGTAAATGTAAACACGGCCTTACACTAGCGATTAGCAGATAATTAAAATATCAATTTTATTGATATCTTAATCCCGATTATTTTTCCAATTCCATCCATTCTTAACTATAATAAAAATACATTATTTATTTCACCCGTTGATATTAGAATATATTATTATACACATTACACCGTCAAGAAGAAATTACAAGAATTACAGAAATAACAGTAACCCTGAAATCGACAAAATGTATACTTAAAAATAGAATTAATGAGCCATTTTAATGTAAAAAATTAAAAGAAAAGAATTAATAGAAATAACATTAAAAAAATATAAAAATAATGAAATATATAAATATACAGTCAATAATAACGAATGTAATTTTATTATAGGTACTTTTAAATATAGCAATTGGCTTACTATTTTAAAACAAGTCTACATATTTACATATTATTTAACATAATATTTTATACATGGTTTTTATAACTAAAATTTTTATATATTTGAATAAAATGCAAATGAAAATTGAAAAAAATTGTTGACGGACGATTTCACAAATCAAATTATACGTATATTGTCTAAAAAGATTAATCCGAGTTTACGTAGGTATCCAAATAATTTATTCGAATCACGGAAAAAAATCCATGAAAAAAAACCAAAACAAAAAAAAAAAAAGGAAAAAAACTAAATTCGTTTATTTTATTAAATTTAATTACAGTGGCAATTAAAATTATATTTATCTAAATTATACACTTTTTATTACATGAAAACTATCTATTTATTTCTATATTGGGAAATTTTAGGTACTAGATAGTTTGGTGATGTATGTGCCTGTGTAAATATGATTGACATCTTAAAACTTTATACACATATAGGTGATATTTTATACTATAGAGTTTGACTATAGTACTATTAAGTTAAAAAAAGGTTCCTCTATATATGGGCTATACGTTATTCATTACATTATTTTTATGTAATGATAACAAAAATGTCATACGATATATTGACAACTTTTTGATTACTATTTTATATATGCAATAATGTGTCGATGATAATAAAATGATGCTATTAAAATGATATAGACTATAAGAATAAATGAAAAAATAAATAATATTTTATAACTGCAACAGGCCAATTTTACCTTCGGGATATTCTTACAGGGAGAGTAAGATTTTCTTAAGCATATTTTATCCTCGGAATAAGTTTTTTGGGTTATTCTTACTCCCGGTAAAATTATTCTAGAATAATCATACCACCCAGGGAGGAGGATAAAAATATCCTTAGATAATTTTATTCCTGGTAAGAATATCCTAGGCTTGAACATAGAATGTTTATCCCTCCCTAAGGGGGTAACAATTTCCTAGCATAATTTGACCCTGGTAAGAATTTCCAAGTAATAATATTACACCGTAAGAAGGATATGATTTGCTTGAGATACAATTATTTTATATTATAATTTAATGAACATTTTATTTTAGAAATAGTTTATTTTAAAAATGCATTAAAAGACAAAATACAGACTATTTTTTTTTTTACTTTAGCAAAAGGATGAAGGTATTTTTGTATTCAAATAATAATACCAGGTCGACAGTTCAAAAAGAAATATGAATTCAAAGTATAAAATACAATATAATGGACATTTTATGCTTGAAAAATTTCATTTGAACTCCGGAAACTGATACAATGGTATCGTAGTTGGAATAGGTTTTTTTTTTAATGGCGATGATTAGCGAATATATCTGAATGTCAATTGAGAATATGAGAAACTACTTAAGTCGAATAATATACCTTAATCATAGCAAATGGTCAAGAACTCTTGAGAAAATTGTACGATATACTATTATGTACATAATAAGAACGAATCATAAACGATAAAAAATATATACTAATATATTATAAAAGAAATTGAATAAAAATTTACCACATTAACCATCGGTATTTGGTATCTACAATCTATAATGATATCGAATTATTAGTTCTTATTTTAGGCTTAAATATTATTGGATTCTTTTAGCTTTTTTACTTAAAAACTGTAAAATTTATCGAATTAGTGTTCATATTTTAATCATTACCTTATTAAATACTACAACATAATAAGTACCAAGTGCTTAGGTATGCAATTTTTCAAATAAAATAAAAAAATAGTTTTATTAAATATAAATAAGTATTAGTTACTTTTGAATACGAAATATTGTACTAATCGAACAAAATTATGTTAAATCGTCATATTGTTCATTTTAAGCATGTATTCACAAAGTAAGTCGTGCGTATCTTAGTGGTTATTATCTAATATCTATAAAGTTTTAGTTATTTTATTTATGATTTATAATATATTTATTAGGTATATTTACATTATACAGTTTTATAGTTGTTTTATGAAATTATTGCACGATTCACCTTAACACTCTATTAAAAAATGGTTATGTTATTATGTTTATCAGTTTTTATTTTATATGGATATATGTATAAAAGAAGTTTTATGCAAAACACACGAAGCGTAATATTATTATGTGTCGGTCGTTTCAATGAGCCTTTCAGAACTATTTTATTATATCACTCTCAACAAACTGCAATTGTTCATAAATCCTTTTACGGGATAGGCCGAATTATGTATGTATTATAGACACTTATAATATTTGTGGGTTATTTTGGCCGTCAGTGTGGGATAGTTGTGAGAATTCAAATTGACAAATATATTATTATACACAAATACACGAATTATCATGTCCACACGTTATTGTGTTGTAATATAATAACTTACTGACGTGCATATAATAGGTCGTTGTATGTATTAATAGTAATAATAATAATAATAATAATAATAATAATAAATAATAATAATAAAAAATATAACTGTCGGTCGACTGGTTTTTTTTAGTATTTTTGTCTAACCTGCGATTCGGTAGCGTCATTCTTAGTATCGGCTTGTTAAACAAACATTAAACTATAAATATATAATATATATTATGTTATTTACATTGTGGTGACATTGTGTATAATATATAATATAATTATAAATTATAATACGAACCTGTTTACACAGTGAAGACGATGCGTGTAACTGAGTTTGCGGTTATGCCGTAATTATTATAAGTTTTTTATAGTTCCTGACCTTAGACGGTAGACGGTAGTTTGTAGTGTGTGAAGCATAATATGTATGATGTAGTATATTACATTTAAACAATCGAGTCATTATCATCATCTTAATAATTTAATCCATAGATGTTAAGTAAATAGAATTTTTTTCTACAAATAATACAATTTCAAACAGATGTCGGAATAATCATTAAATATATTTCTCAATAATTTTTTAGCCAATCGTTTTTTTGACCGGTTCACAAACAATGCAACAATAAAATTAATAAGAAAGTCTTAAGTCAACGTTTAGAACGTAAAGTAAGGGAGCTGAGTTTGTTGTAAAATGATTTCATTTTAATAATATATTAAGCGATATAATTTTATATTTTTAATATTAATATTATAAGATATATTATAATAATATTTATTTAATTTATTTATTGTCACTCGATTCTTATATTATTATTGCTACCACCAGTCATCAGACATGTCAATCATGTATATATTGTATAAGTATGCGTTTCTTGCAACAGTGATTTCTGTAGGTACACACCTCGCTTCAGTGGGTTATTATGTTAATAAATATATATGTGTGCTTTATAAAAACATCTTCACGTAACTATACAGGGAAAAAAAATAAGTGGAAAAGGGCTGAAAACCTCCCCTCCTATGTATATGTATACATCATCTAGACGTCTGTTATAAAAATCGTCCACTCGTATAGTGTTCATTAATATATATTATAAATGTATATAACATGATCTCGGTGAATGTTGCGGGAGACCTATAAGTTTAATATTTATAGGTTGATAAGTCTTGTTAAGTGTTGACTTGTAGTTAACTATTTGTAGAATAACAAGTTTTAGAGTAAATATTAATACTGTATACCTATTTTCAATAAACATTTTAGATTGATAACCACCTTTACTTTTGAATAAAACTGTGTATAGGATGCAAATAAACAATTTTTCATTTTCTCAATATAAATACTAAATGCACCAAAGTTTTATACTTGTACCCAAAAAACCATTGATATTTCTACGATTAATTAATGTAATAAATAATAATGTTTAACTACATCGTATCAATGTACCTATTTTAATGTATATTTATTAACTGAATTAAAAAAAAAATTTCAATGTTTACTTTATATTCCCAATAGTATGTGGTACAACGGAAATTTCTCACTTCCATCAAAACCTTATTTTTTGTAGAGAAGTTTCAAGCCGTTTTATTGTTGTTTATATCAAAATTAAAATTTGTGATGTTTTGAATAAACAATAATTATTAGTTAACAATAATAACTTTGAATTATTCGACTAAATAATCGTCATTTAAAATGATAAATTATCCTGATGATTTAAAAAAATATAAATTATTTAAAATTTAAAGCGTAGAAATGATACTGATAGTCGGGTTGCTTGCTCTCTCGTGTAACCGACAGTCGTGTAGGTATTCGTGTAATAATATATTTTTATTTTTTGTGACTATTTATTGAATTTATCCACATTCCGTTATCATAATAATTATGGACTGTTAATTT